CAACGGTTGTTGGCGCAGTTGATAATTCCAGGCTCTGGATCTCTCGTGGATGAAAGCACCTGCCTCCGAAGGCCCAATTCAGGCAACTCAGGTTTGGAAAAGAGCAGGATTGAAGATACACCTGCAGCTTTAAGGCTTCCAGTTGGTTCACTCAAGCAGCTGATGTGAAGGTTTTGCATGACTGTCACTGCAAAACGCCTAACTCTCTCCACAGAGAAAAGGACCCGACCCGGTTCCAGATTCCACTCCATGGCCAGGTGCCTAACTTCCAGGCACGTAATGCCCAGATCCCATCCCACCTATTAGGTACCTAAGAAGACTTATATATTCAGGTATTATCCTATTCCACTCTGCTCACGGCCCTGAAGAAATACTTAACAAAGCTTGGATGGGTCCCTCCTCATCCTCATTGGTTTTGTAAATTTAGTATTAAGACTAGGTTGATGCCATGTTACAAAAGTCTGTATGCTAATCTTTTTTAATGAAGCCTGGCAGAGTAGAATAGTATTGCACTTAGGTGCCTAAATCCGTTTAAACACCTAACAAGAGGAATATAAGCGCATGGGTCTTCATTGGCTGTAAACCCAAAAGAAAGAAAAGAATGCTAATAATGATCCCAATCTTGAAAAATGGAGAGGAACTGTTATCAATACTGAGTTTTTAGGAATTAGTAGCATTCACCATCAGATTCAAGATGCACATGCAATTATGGCAGCTGTACATGCAAGGGGTATAACTATGCAGGCAATAGCTATTTAGATATCTAACTGATGTTGCCTGCATAATCGTTGCAGTGAAAAAGTGCAAATTATTATGGTCATAAGCAGGAAAATTCTTTGAGTAGATGTGATATCCAACATGGCTACAACCAAAAACCCAGCAAATTATTCATAGATATAATAGATTTCATAGACATTAGGGCTGGAAGGGATATCGGAAGGTCTTCAAGTCCAGCCCCCGGCCCAAAGGGCAGGAAGTCAGCTGGGGTCATAGGATCCCAGCAAGATAAGCATCCAATTTTCTCTTGAAGGTGTTCAATGTAGGCGCTTGAACCACCTCCGATGGCAGGCTGTTCCCGACCTTGGGGGCTCGGACAGTAAAGAAATTCTTCCTTATGTCCAGCCTCAAATGGTCTTGTAGTAGTTTATGACCATTCGACCTAGTCGTCATCCCTTGGGGCGCTCTGGTGAACAAACGTTCCCCCAGATACTGGTGGGCACCCCTGATAAACTTATAGGTGGCCACCCGATCACCCCTGAGCCTGCGCTTTTCCAGGCTAAAGAGCCCCATAGCTCTCAGCCTGTCATCGTAGGGTTTGTTTTCCTGACCTCAGATCATGTGCGTGGCTCTCCTCTGATGGTCAAACATTTTTCCCCTTGTGCACTTCCAAAGACCTGATGTACATCCAACAAACAATTTCTTTTCCAAGGAATATTAAAAAAAAAAAAGAATATAGGAATTAGAAGTCTGACTCCAACTACTGGTCTATAACATCTGGTATACTATCTCCAAAGATAGATAATACAACCTGCCTCAATGTGCCAGGAAACCTGCAGTTAAGGAAAAAACCTAATCACCAGAAAAGTTGCTTCCTAACTCTACTTAAAAGTTGTCTGCTGCCTCCCCCCAAAAGGGGTTTATATCCTTTGTGGAACTCCAGGCATTCCTTTTAAATACAAGTGCCCAATGCTTTTTTATATATCCTAATAAATTGTAGACCTCAGTAATAGCCTGGAAAACTTACTGTCAACCTCGTATAAAAGTGTGTTTCTTATTCACACCGCTTCGAATGGGCAGGCTTTCTCTGGATGTTATGTGGGTGGTGTATTAGGAAGCAGGCAGAATGGACATTAGACAAATATTTGAATGGAAAGTCTTTCGGACACACCCATCTTTCTTTTTGTGCATTCTCACTGTACCCCATTGCAATACAACCTCAATCCCAAATGGAGCCATGATACAGTCAAATCTAAATGGACCCATGTCACGGAGACAACCGCAGTGACATTTTGCATGCGAGGGAATGAAGATATTTGTGGGTGGCAGAAACCCAGCTCTAGTTCAGATTGCAAAAGGCTGTCTCAAAAACTGTTTCAAGGGATAAATATCCTTTTAATTAATTATTTTCTTGGTTCTGATTTATTCCAGAGCTCAGGGACTGGGCCCGCTCTGCATTTGGCATCTTTGCAAATGGGAAAATAATATGCAGTAAAACAACAAACAATAAAATGCCTCGTTGTCACATTTGTTGCACTGTTTATCACATCTGGTTTTCACCCTGCACAGAGCATGTATCAATAATTCATGACTGAGCAATAGCATTTCTATAAAAGTTTACACACCTCATACCATTAGCAATAGATCACTGTTAAGCACCTTTAGAGCTTTCCTTCCCGTTTAATGCTCTATGTTGTTATCTTCATTTCAATAAACCAGATTAAAAATACACCCCCTCCCAGATAGTAGAATGCCACAATTCATATGTAATACATGAATGAATACCCTGCCTGCATTTTGCAACTAGAGACTTCATTTAGAAACCACAGACCAGGGGAAACTGCTTCAAAAGCAGCCACATTCCAAAGTCACCTCAGCTTAGTTTAAAAAAAAAAATTCTTAATCAATGGCAATGAAAGCCAATAAAGAACCTGAACATTAGAGTGCCTAAATTGTAGCTGCCTATGGCAGCATAACTGGAAATGGGCAAGCAAGGCACCAGCCCCAGGACAACAATTTACAAGCGGATACTGGAAGGGTGCCCCCAGGGAGTCTGGCATGGTGGCAGCAAGCAGGCAGAGGGCCACAAAAAGTCTAATTAAAAGCCCTTATATTCACCCTGCTAGGAGATTACCCCAACTACTAGTTTGAACTGGGGTGATGGGCTGTCTCCATCATTCCTGGTGAACCGGTTTCAAAGAGTAGCAATGAATCCCAGGTCCACTGGGTAAGGGAGGAGTAAGACTATACTGGTGATTAGAGAACTTGCTAAAGGAAGGTCTAGCCATGAGTCTTTGCCCCAAAGGGTTTTAATATGCGTTGGGACAGGGCCCAGATGCAACTTTCCCTTTCCCCCCAAATTAGTGCCCTAACCACCAGGCTAACCCTAGGCCAATTGTGCTAACTCTTGCTCTCTTCCTCCAGTAAATGAATCTTGCATTCACTGTGGCTCATAGATACAACTTCAGCAGAACGGATGGAGAACATTTCCAGCTACCAATAACCTCCAAGGAGGTGGGAGATGTAGGGAACAGTAATTGGTGAGTTTAAATAGTTAGGTGGCAGCTGAGCAGGATTTTTTGGCTTGAAGCTTTAAAATTACATTTCCCAATTGGACCTATATGCTTTATTGACTCTAGCTGTTGGCTCCTCAAATCTAGATTCTCAGGAGACCCTTAACTCCAACCAAATTCGCCTTTGACGGTCTGGCACTTTAGACAGGCAGGGACTTTAGGAAGCTTAACTCAGATCATCTACTGGTGTATAGAACCGCTTTATTGAAGTCCATGGGACTAAGATTGATTTGGTTTCATTTTTTAAAAGTCTCTTGGAGGGGTTGTGATTTGCTGATTCCTTGGCTGTGCCTTTTTGGGTCTTTATCTCTGTAATGGTCTTGGAGCAGAGGAGAACACAGACTTCATAGACTTTAGGGCTGGAAGGAACCTCATAAGAACATCGGGTCCAGCCCCCCGCCCAAGGGGCAGGAAGCCAGTTAGGGTCAAAAGATCCCAGCAACATGTGGCTTATAAAGGAAATGCTCCAAGGAACTGAATCTTCAGAAAGAGGTTAATATCTGGAGATGGACTTCTGCCTGGAAACAAATGCAACTGGACTGTACCATCTAAGGAGTAATATTTGTACGACTGAAATGTTGAAGTTTAACTTATATTAGTAAGGGGAATGGAAAATGTCATTTCCGCTTAAGCTCTCAAAAGTCACAATTCTGGAGAACTGAGGATTTCTTTGAAGAGCTGTATCCTTGAACTGGTCAAAACTGATCCGATTGCAATACTGACATGTTCGTTTTCATGGCTCCAAAACAGCGTGTTACTATTTCTCACCGTTTAGTTTTTGCTTTCGTTATAGAAACCTTAAGTAAGACATAGATATAGTATATACATATAATACACATAACCACACACACACATGCGCATGTGGCCCCTGGTCTGTGCATGGGGTAGAGGCGGCTGCAGCTGCAGCCTTAGCTCTGCCTCTACTCCCCGCCACACTGTGGCTGCTTTGACAGCAGTGCGGCGCCATATGAGTTGCGCTGTGGGGCTGGCCAGGAAGTGAGGCATGTGTGTGGCATGGGGTTGTGTGTGTGTGTGTGTGTGTGTGAGTGTGTGACTTGTGGCTGGGTGTATATGTGGCATGTGGTGTGTGGCTGGAGGGGTGTGTGGGGCTGGGTCTGTGTGGTGTGTGGCACATGGCTGGATGTGTGTATGCTGCGTGGGTGGGTGTGGGCGTGGGCATGTGGCTGGCTGAGTGTGTTTGATGTGTGGGGGGTGCATGGGGCTGGACAAAGAGCGGGCGGTGGGGGTTGTGCATGGCCGGATGCAAAGTAGGGGCAGCGTGGGGGGGTAGGTGGCGATGCTCCATCCGCACTGCTCGCCCATCATTCTTGACAGCCACTTTGCTAGTATGTACATATCCATACACACACGTATATACACATATACTGTCTAATACTTATATAGAGAAATATCAGGACCGTTATCAAAATGTATAATATTATGTTTCATATATATTGATGATAGTCCTGATATTTTTGTAGACTTTTTTCCTTTGTTTTTTTGTTTTTGTTTTTTTTTTTTTGGGGGGGGGGGGAAGGGGAGGTATTGCTAAAAAGTTTTTCTTTTTAATGTGGAAAAAAATCATTTATATCAGTAGGTTTTTATGCTAATATTGCCCAGGAGTCAGCATTTGAAGGAATAGAGCTCCCAATTGTGGAAAAACATTTTATTAGATTTAATACATCACATTTTTTTTGGTTTTGTTTTTTTCTGTGGGGTGTTTTTCTCCTTGATTCTCAGATCTGGGGCACTGAGGAGAAATGAATGTAGTAAGTGCTTTTATTCGGTAAGGTGTAGCAGCACCAGGGTTTTATTGTGCCAAGTGCTGTGTGGACACAGACACAGACACAGACACAGACACACTCTGCTCTGAAGAACATGCAGCCACATGATTAAAAAAATAAGATAGTTGAGGGAAAAAAAAGGATTATGCCCTTTTAACAAATGGGCAACTAAGACTTTGAAATATTACATTATTTTTTCCAGGTCTTACAGGTATCGATGACTGCTGAAAACGGCAGCCAGTTTTTTTCAAATCTTTGTCTGCTTCCCCCCTCTCTCCCTCTCCTTTAAGTCTGAGCCCCATGTAACTGCTGGGACCTGGCTGTTTTGGGTTGGAAGGATTTTTGTTCCCTTTAAGTGGGTGTTGCTGTCATTTTCTTTTCTTGAAGCCCATTTATAGGGCAATGCCATGAGGCTGGAATTTTCTTTAAATCGAATCAAGTCCCAGAAAGATATTTAGTTTCAAACTTGGCTGGTCCACAGCAGTGTTAAAAGCTTAAAAAAAACAAACAAACAAGAAAAATCACTTCTTATTTTGCGTTATCAAATGTTTTGAGCGTTTTGTGGCAGGATGGCTGTATTTGGGATTGTTCTTTGCTTCCTGTGGCAATTTCATGTAGGTGTTTTTTGGTGTGCTTCTCCCCCCCACTTCTTTTTATGTTATTTTATTTTTTGTTGTTGCAATAAGTGGTATGTGAATGACTCAACATGACTATTCCAGTTCTAGTATCTGCTATTTGTGTCAAATATGAAAGAAGAGTCACCTCCCCCCTTCCAAGAAGTATAACTACTCATTCTTTCAGCTATTCGGGGTGGCCAGGAAGCCACATCCGATCCTCCGTGGAAGATCAAGAGCTGGAGGAGGGGAGAGCAAGGCTCTGAACTACCCGGAGTGGCGGTGACCACCCCATCTCCCCCACTGCCACAGCGCTGAGCTGCTTTGGCTTTCCCTGCGGGAAGCATGCCCCAGGGTAAGCAGCACAGCTGCAGCCTCCACCCCAGCATCCCAGTGCCTAAGAGCCACAAGTACTGCGCTAGCAAGCAACATGCAGCTTGGCCATCTCTGAACTATATGGTGCAGCAAAAATAATGCACAGAAACGCTGCACTTAAGTGTCTTTTCTCTTGAGTATATTTTAACAACTTATAATGGCAAGACATTGTGAGTGCCCTCTTCCTGCTGCTTTATCTGTGGCTGGTTAGCATGCTCTTGTTGTGGGGCGATGTGCCTGGTAGCTCTGCAACAGGATTGTTTGTATACTTTGACAAATAGGTTAGGCAAGGACTTGTAGGGTATGGTGTTGTTAGGGAAGATCCCACCTTTAAGCAGGAGGGTTGGACGGGATGATTTCTGGGGGCCCCTTCCAGCCCTAGTTCTCTAGGATTTGTGCAGCACCTGGCACAAGGTTGGAGCACGGCCAGTTTGAGACCCCTTGATTCTTTCGAATTATGGTTAGTAATGCTCAATGTACTCTTATTTTTCATTTACAGCAGCCAAGAGGTGAGGACATATCTTGTAGTACACTTAAAGCAACAAGGTTTCACTCCGAACTCTTTGGAGAAGAAGAGACTTAATGATTAGAGTGTGTCACGTACCTGCTGAAAGCAAGAGATGAAGAGCCTTCCTAGAAAGCACACGCAACACCTCAGCCTGCAACAGGAAAATAAGCAGGGTTACAAGAGTGCTGTTTTCATTTATTTTAAAGAGAGAAGAGAACTCAAAAAGTGGAGCCAAGTGAATTTCAGACCCAACTTTGGATCTGAATCCCTAGATTTTGTTTTAGGTTTGATGCTGCACTGGAAGCACCTTATTTTTCTCTATCTAGTTCTACTATGGCCTTCTTATGAAGTCGTGGCTTCAGGATGACTAAGGTTTTAACAAAACAGCTATATAAAGTGGTGTTTAAAAAAAAAAATCACCATTATTTCAACTGCTGTTATACTGAGATGCCTAAAGAAACACGATTGTATCAAGATGAAGGAGGGCCTGGTTGCACATTAAATTTTAGGTGGCTTCTGGAGCTCTTAACCCTTGGATAGTCCCCATGTTAATACCTGAAAGTAATTCTAAGCACCCTTTAGGTGGCTTGAAAGGATACCTCTCCAGGCAACGTTTCTCTCTACGTTGTGTTATTTAGCTTGAGTCATTCTAACATGTGGCCGCTCCAGGTCCCACGTTGGTGGAAACGTCCCTCTCTCCCCCCCATCCCCAAAGGGGAGCAGGATGGCATCTGTGGCAGCAGGGGCTGGGCAGGTGGTCTCTCCTTACCTGCCCGCTCCCCTGGCACAGCTCCAACAGCCAAAATAAGCTGGGGAAAGGGAGGTGTAGAGATCCAGGAGCAGAGAGGCAGGGGAGAGCCAGCCTGGATCAGCCCACTAATCTCTCTGGACTGGGCCAGCAATTCCCCACCCCAGATCCCCTTTCATCCCATCCCATCCCATCCCTCCCTCCCTCCCTCCCAGTCACAGCTTGCTTGTGGCCTCCAGTGCAGTGCTAGTGACTAGGGGAATCTGCCTGCCTGCCCAGTGCTACTGCTGCTCTCGGGGCTGAGCAGGTGACTACAAGTAAGCCAAGGGGTGAGGGTAAGCCACAAGGACCGGCGGTGGAAGGGAGCCCTGTAGGACTGAGGAAGCTTAAAATAAGAGGGGAGGAAGGATTCTTACCTTTCTGTCCTCAAAGCCCCTGATGGCTTGCACATGCGACTGCTCCAACCTCGAGGTAGCACGAACACCCATCAACAACTGAGCAGCTCAAATGCAGCGTGTAAGATTGTCTTCACATGCATCTTTACGTTCCTGCAGTAATGAGCACATTTCCTCAAGGAACTCCAGGCACTGCAAGGGAAGGAGGGTATTAATACAAATGTTCCTTCTGGAATGATTGCAACTGGTTTGCTTAGGTTCAAGCAACCCATACAATGAATGCTTCCTTGTCCAAAGCTTCTTTCTGCTACCAGCAAAACTGGCTCTAGGAGAGGAGAAGTGCCATGGTGCACTGAAGCATCTATGTTTAGGCGTTACACTGGCAACGGAAGAGGCGGAAGGGAGAGTAGAGGGTGACTTATCATACCGCATTTCTCAGATGATTCATTTAGCCTTATCAAAGGCCATTTGTTTGCATGAGTAATGAATCTTATTCATACAGCTCTTTTCATTTGAATTTTTTTTTAAGTACCCTGAACACCTTAGGAGACAACAATCAAGGAATTATGTACCAGTAAAATGCACTGCTCTCTCAGAAGAAAGGAGGAGACCACCATGGCCAAAACTAGAATAACTCAGAGTAGGATGTGCAGTATAGCTTAATCTAACTCTACAAGGGTGTGAGCAATTGTTTGTTCAATTTACAATCAAACAAAGGAAGGAAACCAAACCAAAACCACGCTTTTAAGGGCTTTCCAGAAACCCAGCCCCCAAGCACCCCAGTCCAGGATCAGTGCAGTTCCCTGATCCATAGGTTTCAGGGTCAGCAGAGAAAACTGAGCTCCCTCAGTCACTTGGGTCACAGCAAACAGAAGCTATAGACTCTATTCCTCAAGCACACAAAGCACCACCACATCAGAGACCTTGCTTGTATAAGTCTAGCACTTTCCTCAACTTATTTGACTTTCCAGATACTCCAAACTCGTGATGCCCTCTTCTTTTGCTTTTTATGTACTTTAGGCTGGTTTCCTGGGAGGCTAATGAACTCCAGCTGCTTTTGGTTCCTGCACATTAATTCTTAATTCTCTCTGAAAAGAGCCATAGGCCTTTTGGAAATAGGCTCCTGATGAGTAGCATAGGTCAGACAATTTTCATCAAAACAGTTTTGTTGGGAAATGCAGTTTCAATAGAATCAAAACTGTCACACTTTCAAAGGAATTCCCTGTGAAAACAGATTTTCCCAAAATGAAAAAGGAATGATTTTAGAACATTCTTGCTTTGATTTTTTTTTTGTTTAGTTTGTTTTCATTTATATCAGTTATTTAAAAAAAATATATTATTTCATAGCATGTCTATTAGTGCCTAATATATACACTGTATTGTAATATAGGTGATATTATATATTGGCATGTGGCATCAATAACAACTGTACATATACTGTATCATATTATTATATAATAGGAGAGCTGAAATAGTCCATTTTATATTATGTTATTGCTTAACTCATTTAAGGACAGCTGCTACTTAGTACTGATTGAAACATCTTATTTTCTAAATCAAAGAATATTTTGCTTCTATCATACTGAAACAGTTTGACACTTTGAACAAGAGAAGGAGATAAGCACTTTGCATAGTAATTAGAGGAACAGCTGGTTTCAATATCCTGGGTAAAATATTCTAGGCTAACAGAGGCACATAGGAAACAGCTGCTCCTCTAATTTGTACGCTAAGGACTAGACCTAGTAAGGACTTATTTAGGTGTTACAATATCTAAGCTTTAGATATTTGACTCCCCAAGAGGAATCCAGAATCATCAATCAACTTTGGCTTCCCATAGGGAAAATTAGATGCCTATAATTTGGATCCTGAAGAGCATTACTAGGCTATGAGCTAGGCAAGACCAAAAGCAGCTTCCATTCTTCTTTTTAAAGCTGGCCCATTGGACAACCAAGAGGGCTGCAGTGTCTTAGTAAAAGAGATTGCCCCAGAAGGGATGAGGCCATGGAGTCCTGGCTCCAATCATGTTTCTATACATCATAATCAATAACTAGAGAGCAATGGGATAGTTCTAACCCAATATGGCTGTGGCCAGAAACAAGCCTCCCCCTCTCTTCCAAGGCAGCATCTGTCTCACTGGGTGTGTCTACACGAGACAAGCTACTGAGCAGTAGTATCTGAAAAAAAACACGCGGGGACACTACCGCATACTCAGTAATGCACAGCCTGCTGCTCATGACTCGGTGGCTGCATATACATGCTCTTCCTGGCTTATTTGCCTGTTTCTGCAAACCTTGCTTCCTTGGCATCCTGGTAACAACCTTCAAGACGAGTGGGAGGGTGCTCTTGACCTTACCTAAGGCAATAGGCTAGGAAGTAAGAAACGGAGATTGTACCCCCTCTGGATAACGGGGATGTGGGGGCTGCGGGTATGATAAAAAAGGGGGCTTAGGATGCAGATCACCCACTCCCTGGGCAGGCTTCTTATCCCTGGACTCCTTCGTTGTGTTTCTGCCTTCCATAGTGTGATGCATTTTGCCCAGAGAGTAAGAGGCTGGAGGAGATCCTTCCTGAGCCTGATTTGTGCAAGGGGTAATAGGATCTACAGCTCACCAAAGTGACCCACCTGGCTACATTTCACACTTACCACCCCTGAAAGAAGAATTGTCTTTGGGTCCAAGTAGCTTAAATATCTTGCCTCCCCACCTCCCCACTTACCTTTTTGAGGGTCTTTAAGAAATTCCTGCCACCCCTTTTATCCAGGCAGTCAGTTACTGCAACTCTCTCTGAGCTTTGTGGGTATTTTTTGTTTTGTTTTGTTTTGTTTTTCGGGTGGGAAGCTTAAATGGCTCCTTTAAATAAATTATCAGATCTGTGCAAGAAGAAGTTAGTCACAGTGGAGAAAACCTTTGCTTCTGCTCATCTCTGTTAGACCAATGAGAAAATGATTCTTACCTCAGCCTCCCTCTCTGGAGTAGTGACACAACGTAGGAACTAACAATGTGAAAAAGCTGTAAACTGCAGCAGTAACTTCCTCCCACACACCTCATTAGGCCTTTAACACATTTTCCTTTGCCTTTCCCCAATGCTGCTAAGTAGCACAACTGTGAAGCTGCCCTTTAGCATTATAATTGGAAGCACTCGATGGTTATTGTACTCTGTAATTTGGTAATTACATGGTCTGCCACTCTCTGGACACTGGCCTGTCTGGTCATCTCAAGCTTTGCGTATACCCAAGGATTGCTGATTGTTCAGAAAACCTGAGTAACCCTCATTCCTGTTTCTCCCTTCAAGAAAGCCCTGTCAAATACCTTTAGCCTTATGGTTTCTCATTTGGTTTTTGAAAGGAGGAAATGTGACTTGTTCAGGGGAATACAACCTGCGTGTGGATATTAAATCCCTGCTTGAATGCAGAAGGTCTTTTTTCTCACCCCAATTTTACATTGTTGTAACTTTACTGACAGGAGTGTAATCACTTCTGATTATAGCATGGTAGCTGCAGAGAATCAGACTTCTCCATATGATCTGACATAGGAAGAAAGGTTTATCCAAGCCTGAGAGAGCCATCAGGCTTACACAGTCAAGACATGCAAGGGAGCAGGGTGGCCAGTTTTGACTCCCAAGCCTTGGCAACCAGATACCCATTTACCCCTAGGCTGCTTGGAAATACCTTTTCACATGAGTCCATGGGTTTTTTGGGTGTTTTTTGCAATTTCTCAGTTGGTCTAAGAAAAGGTATTTTCTCTGAACCAAGAGATTTTTGTATTTCTTTTTGTCTCAGAACAACATGGCTACCAAATACATCCCTGACTAGGGCTTGAACACTTGCCTCTAGAGTAGCAGGATACCATACCCACCCTACCACTACATGTGGTAAACTAACCTCTATTGGGTTAAATGGGAACTTTGAGGAAGCTTTTCAAAGGGACTTATCAGAGATAGATGCCAACTTCCATTGAGTTGCAAAGGAATTTGGGTGCCTAGTTGCTTCTTAAGCCTTTGAAAATGTCTATCCTATGTCTGATTATTTTTAACACCACCAAATTCAGGCTGTTTTTTTTCCCATTATTTCACAAAATGTATTCCTGTTATGTATTTCTGTCCCTCCCTCTCTTTTTTTTAATTAAGGTGATCTCATGACTACAGCAAAGAATTTGTAGTCATTAATCCTGGGTACTCCAGTCAGCCCAGTGGCATGAGCTTTAGCCACTGCAGAACCAGGAATAGAACCCATGTATATTAAGTTTCAGTCCAGTGATCAACACTTTCCTAGTTCACAGGTTATGTGAGATGTAACTGTTAGTGACCTGAGATGGCAGGTGAAGGATAGTTCGAAACACAAACACAGAAGTCAACAAATACAGTTTGGTCATTACAGAGATGCCAGTAAGAAGTAACTCTGCAGGAGGTATAACACGGACATGGAACAAAGGAAAAGGTAGGATGAACATCAGAGAAAAATTGGAGTCTCGCTCTAGGAAAGGGGTGTTGGACAAGAGTGCACACATAACTAATGCTATGGAGAAGATGAACAAAGAGGTTGTTGGCTTAATATAAGAGCAAGGAGATATTTGGTGAAAGTAAGCAACAAATCTGAAATGGATAAATGGATATATATTTAATGCAACGTATAATTAACCTGTGACACTCATTGCTATGGGATACTCTTCAGGAGAAAAGCCTGGTAGATTTCTGAAAAGGATTAACCATTTGTATGGATAATAAAAACCTCCATGATTTAATTTACTTAGATGGGGCAATGTTTTTTATGAGGGATGGTGAAGCACTGACGGAGGTGTAGGAAAAAAAAATTGCCAATGAGATAGTTATTCTTTAATTGTCCTCTCTGGAGTTCCTGTACCACCTGGTCTGGGCACTTAGAGATCAGCGAACGAATAGGAAAGATCACTGAACTGGCAATGCAGCTATGTCTATTTTTTTTTTAATGTACATTGAGAATTTGTTATAAGGTGAGGAAAAAAAATTAATCTAGGAGAGTGGGCGCTACAGGCTCAGAATTTGCAGAGCAGGTTTTTACTCTTCCTGACTTGAGGCAGATTAGGATAATCTTTATTTGCCACTGTAATCTGAATCTAAGCTTCTAGGATGACCCATTTGATGAGCGCATTGTCCTCTAGGGTGGTATCTGTCCACTAAGAAACCT